ATACTCCATTTACAAAGGACAAACATTCCTTACCATGCAACATGGAAGCATCGCCCCCAAACCTTTTTGAGGGCGAATAAATTCCTCTCCAGGAACCACTTTTTAGTGCGAGAATTTCATCTCTTTTTAGTGCAAGAATTTCATCTAGTGCGTCAATCTCCTTGTCAATCCTAAGGACTTTATCATTGCTAGTTGAGTCATATCCCAATTCATAAGTAGAATCCTGTTCTAGCGACGATTCTAGAGGGGGAAATACTATTGATTCTGACGTGGTGGAGTTCCATAGCAATAGCATTGTAGGCTCGTCCCAGGAAAGTCCGGTCCAAATCCCGATGAGAAACAAGGCATCGCAACAACAATAAACTTTATAACCACTGAATGGAAAATAGGTGGCCAAAAAGCTTTATATATATCATTTGGAGATAAAGAAGTGCAATAGAAACTAAAATCCATTTTACCCGGAGAGGACGCCCCAATAAGCAATTTTTGGGAATCAGGTTGATTTTTGGCATGATTGTGATGCTTCTTCTTAAAATAAGACTCAAGAATAATGTCTTTCAAGATTTCGAAACACATTTGAAACGAAAAAGAGACTTAACAGGAAGTTTGGTGAGAATGTCCATAAGTATTTCCTCCTCTGGAATGTGAGTTCCCATTGCCATACTCACCAAGACGAAGAAGAAATTATGAGGTTTTCAAGTATGATTTAATGCTGCTATGTGGACGAGGGTTAAGTGTTATAAATACCTAAAAAAGCATTGAAGTTCTAATTAGGGTTAGAATTTGAGGAAACAGTCGTTTCATTATTTCCGTTCCTTATTTTTAGTGTTAATTAGAATTTGTATGATATTTTGTCATTAGGTTTTTCTTCTATTTCTTCCATATTTTAAGGATTAGAATTTGTTTATGAGAAGAATTCGAGTTATACCAATATCAAATACTTTGGATTGAATTATTTTAGCAAAAGTAAACAATAATAAGTCCTACACGGTTGCACCGTCATTTTTGGTAATATAACCGTACTAATCCCAAAAATTTTAGTCAACATATTTTGACAATTTCAGCGTTTTAAAATTAAAAAAAATCATTAATAATGAAAGAAATCTTAAATATACTGTAAGAGAAAAATATATTTTAAAAATTAACCAATTCTAAAAGATAACATGCTCAACACAGGGGGGAAAACACTCCCAAAAAATCCTATACAAAATAGGTGGTTTGAAACAACTCCTATTACTAATCAAGAAACATATATTACCACATTCTACTTAAAGGAAAAATGCTGACTTTTAACCTAAATATAAATATAATAATTCATTATTTAAAATAGTCAACGAAAATACTTGATTGATTTGGAAGCATTTTAGTTTTGCTTTAAAAGTACTGAAATAAGCTTAATGCAAGGGAAGATTGAAAATCTGTTACTACAAAATTACAAAATAAGTTGTACTTCTTTATAAGCAAATATACTTGAAACCATTTGTTACTCCCATATAGTTGCTGAATCCTGTATAGCTAGTCTCCACAATGATTTTAACTGCATTTCAAAGAAAATATTGCATTTAGAAAAAACATATACGTATGTGCGCGTGCATCTTTAATTTTAATTTCTTTAAACAATAGAAAGACAAGAGTAAAAAGAAAAAAGGACTCAAATCTACACAATAACCTCAGGTTGAAAGTTGTTCCTTCAATCTGGAAGTAACTTTCAAAGTTATATCACCATAAGGTACATTTTGATTCACATTGACAAGTCCACAATTCTTCAACACCTGGAATCAAATTCCAAAAGATGTAATGAAATAATTCCTCAAATAATTTTAAATAAGATCATTGATTAAGCAATTGAACATGATCTCATTTATTCAACTCAAAAGTGACAGTGTAAGAGCAATAAAAGGCTCTTAATTACCCAAGTCTCATAAAACATTCGGGCGCCACATTTTCTTGTTTTTGCCTTCTAGTATTGTGTTTAGGTTGAGATCTTCTGAGATGGGGGGTTTCTGGTGACTTCCCTTGCAAAAATTGAGCCACCGTTCTACAAACATATCATCAAAAATACGTTAACCGTATATAATGAGAAGAATATTTTTTACCTTGTTCTGGCTGGTAATGTGTCAAACTCTGTTGTTCCTACTTGCTCATTAATAGGAGTACTCCTGTCATCTTGATCCACAAAACTCAAATCCTGCATCACTATCTATCGATTTATCAAATGTAAAATAGGTAAAAACAAAGTTTAATACATGTTTTGATTTAAAAAATTTACCACGGAAATGTATGTGGTCATCTTAATTAATACTTTGTTTACAAATACTAGCCTAAAATAGAACAATTAATATATGAGAAATATAATAATGAAAGACCGGATCTAATTATATTACTCTAGATGGTAAATTCATACTTCACTATTTAATTAATGATGAAGCAAACATACCTCAACAGAAGTATCAAACAGATGAATATCAGACAAAACGGTATCCTCCACACCTAGTCCCTCTGGAGTGAAATCATCCGTTGACATTGGTGGAGAGGAAATGAATTATGGTGAAGGTGAAATTTCAGACAACAAATCGGTGGAGGGGAATAGTAGTTATGATCACTGGGTTCCGCATGATCCTCCTGATCCTGTGAGGAATTAGCCATCTTGAGTTTCGTTGAAACGAAGTCTTAATTCCTTATAGATGTTGCGGAGATCATGATCACATAATCCTACAAATTAAATTTACAACATACAGCTGAGTTTCCGATGGAGATAGACCATTCCAACTCATTATTAGATTTATTTTTAAAAAAGCTCTTTAATATGACAATATTCCATCTCTCTTGTTCAAAAGAGCATTCTTTCTCCGGCGTTTCAATATACTGGTATCAGCTAGTTGCGGATCACTTTCACTGTAGTGTTGAACATGCATGATGCACATTATATTGTCAGAAAGATTAATTGCATGGTTGAAGAGAAATCTTTATTAAACTGATCACAATAATTGTAATACATTATTAACATAATCTTCTGGCAGTAGCATCAATGAGTAGCTTTCGTCTTCTTCTCATTGGTAATTTTGGTTCCTCAGGAGGGGGTGTTGATTGAAGTACTAAATGATCAGGTGACTGATATCCATGAAAATGGGGAATTAAAGTATATATATACATTGAGTTTAAGAATAAGACTCTTGCACCCACCAAAGGATATCGTCTGTGGATTAGTCGTCAATTCTTGAACTTCTGCTGAAATAGCAGAAGGTGGTTCGTCACGTTCCATCATTATCTCTTCCACAGTTAGGCTTGCAGTTTCCTTGTCAGTTCCTCCATATCATCATCCCACAGGGGATCATGATTCTCAGAATGATGATCATGGACAGCATCAAGCATGAATTCCATTTCTGGAATCTTTTCTACGTCCTGTAAAAACAAACTCTTAATCAAAATGATGATGTTACCAGTGTAGAATAAATCTACAACATTTTAAGCAAAAGATAGATGAACTCACCTCACCAATGAGTATAGCTACATACTGATCTGGTATTTCATCTATATATGTGACAAAGAAGTTAATTATTTTTATAATGAAATAGGAAATAAATTAGTACTTAGTAAACAAGAAAAACACATTATGGCATTATCCCTAATTTATATTTGTTTAAATAGATTTAAAGAAAGGGATAATTGTACATAATAGCAAACTATTAATTCAAATAAAATGGTATAACCACACTTTGATTTAATTGTGCCCTGTAGCAAACTGTTTGTCAGTCGTCTCTCTCCCTCAAACTCTCGCTCGCCACTCTCCCTCTGTCGCTCGCCTCTCTCGCTTTTATACAAACAAAAATGTATAAAATGTGTTTGTGTTTGTATAAAGCGAGAGGAAATTGTATATGTACATATATTTTCGTTCCCCTCTCCCAGATCTCGCTCGCCACTCTCCCAAATCTCGCTCGCCACCCTCGCCTCTCTCGCTTATACAAACAGAAACGAAATGTATAAATTGCGCTTCTGTTTGTATAAAGCGAGAGAAAATTGTATATACACATGCAAATACATATATCTTCGTCTTATACACTTCTAATTATACAATTTAAATATTTTCTTGCCCAGTCTTCGTCCTATACACTTCTAATTATACAATACAAACATTTCCCTGCCCAGTTTTCTTTTGTCTTTCTCTCTTTCTCGTTTTATACATACACAGATTATACAATTGATCTTTTGTATACAACTGCTTTCTTTTGTATATGTATAGCGAATTATACAACTGCTTTCTTTGTATATGTATAGCGTAATTATAACAACTGTTTTTTTTTTGTATATGTATAGCGAATTATACATATATATGTTTGCTATGGAGCGCAATTATGCAAACTTTGCTATAGCATACAAATATGAATTTTGTATTTGCTATATGTGAAAATTGCTCATGTTAAAGAAACGTTACAAAAAAATCAAAATAAGGGAGGTAGGCGTAATATCATAATTCATAATAGCCACTCAAAAATAATAGCCACTCAAAAATAGTCTAATTACTCTCCATAGCTATAGTTTGATAATTACAATGTCGATTTGATTTGGATTCATTAAATTATTTTTTCAATATCAAATCAAATCAAGAATGATGATTTTTTTTCTCTCGAATTTGTTAGTCGAAATTTTCATCAAAGTTTGAAACCAACAACATCAGCATTCATCATAATACAACATGCCGAGTCTAACCCACCATTCAAACACTTTAAAAAAACATTGAACGTCTTTTAAGCATAAACTTCTTCAAAATCTTAAATCAGCAAGTTTAGAGAGTTAATTTTTTTATTTGCAAAATTTCAGAATGGTTCAAAAAAAAAAAAAAATGACTCAGTAAGAAACCAGACTTAGCTGTGTATCTTTTTTACTCCATCTATATCTTACCCAATCCTTTTTAGCTCAATCTATTTTCAATCTGATCCAATCCGTCCGTTTGTCACTATCGAATAAAAGTTAATAGATGATGACCCTATGACGTTACTACGTGGAAACAAAAACAGAACTATAATTTAATGGATTGAGCTCACTCTACATACATATACGACCAAACATTATTGAGTTTAAAGGAAAATTTTACAAATATACAAATTGGCAAAACAATTTTTCTTTCTACTTACACATCTTCCCCATTTATCAGCTAGATTACAATTTTCTGTAGCTAGTCAACTTTCTATATCTCTAATAGCTAGATGGTACAGTATTGTAGATGTCAAATGTTGCTCGTTTCACCATGGTGTCAAACGTTGCTTATTTCTTCGTGGTAAAGTCCAAGCGCAGACTGCATAGAGACACAATGACCATCCACAGAAATGGAACCAGATACAAAATTAGAGAAAACGAAAAGGAACAAAACAGCTGAAAGATAAATTGTACTGATTTTTTAGCTACAATGCAGGTAGATATGGCACTAACCATATTGAGAAGCCTCAGAGCTGCAGGCCGTGTGAATTTCCTTGCAAAAAGGAAACAAGGGGCAGGTTTCTCCTTGTTGGTGCACCACTCTCTCCGGTGTTCCGTCTCATAATTTATATTGTCTATGTCCTGTCAAAACCGAATAGATCTCTAAGGTGTGTGCATATTCATCATTTTACACAGGACAATTCAGCGTTATATAGTAAGACAATCATGCTCATTTCCATTGCTGACAAAGAGGAGGTCAATTGCTAAGTGGGATTACTATTTCATTATCTTCTCCTCTTGTCGATATATGAGTGATATAATTTTCTGAAATATTTTTCTCCCAAATGATCACCGAGTTTCCTGCTAGTAGACCTGGCTAATCTACTAAACTGCTTGTTGAAAAGAACCAAGAGTACCTTGATAGATTGGATTAGCATGGGAGTAGCATCGGCTAATTTATAGGTAACAGGATGCCATCCTTTCCGTTCACGCTCCTTGGAGGATAAAATAAGCCACGCAGTGTGAGTCACTGTCCTCCGTGTAATTTCACCTTCAAGTCCTTCATGCTATATTAAATTAAAGGCTCCTCAGAAAAAAAAAGAAAAAAAAGATAAAGGTTGATTCTAAGGTATCAAATGAAAACTTAAGTTACATTTTAGAGGAATTATGCCTCATAGCCTCTTGCATTTTTCAAATTTCATCCATTAATAACTTTTGTAGTCAGTAATTACCCAACCTATTAATGAGATACAATACAGCAAACTTGAAACAAACCTACACGCAGTGTTCAGGGAAGCGTGAAGTGTGAAGTGGAAAAAAGCGATAAGGCCCCGCTTCACGCTTTAAGCGATGAAGCGCTCACATACTCATTCTAGTCTGTGAAGCGTAGAAGGCTCGCATCGCTTTAAGCGATGAAGCGCTCGCTTTCTTGAACACTGCAGCTACACGAGTTTACAACTAGCTGAACTCAACTAACGGTGCAAGATGAGGTAATCTTAATTTTTTAAATAATATTGGCCTTAGACGGGCTTAAAAGGTCCGACATGAATAGCGAGGAGGATTAAGATAGCCAAATCCAACATAGTTGGGATTTAGGCGTAGTAGTTGTGTTCTTCTCTTCTTTTTTGTGGGGGGTAAAGAAACAAATATAATGCAACTGCCAAGGTTTTTATATTAGCAATTACTTCTTCATAAACAATTAACACTATTATTACTCAACCAGGTCATGAAATAGTAAAATATATTGTCAATCAGCTCAAACTTGAATTGAACTGTTGTAGAGTATGGATTACATTATGCTACCAATGGCCCATGCAAAGGAATTTTTATTGACAGAATATCATTGTTTGAAGTGAAATCAGTAATATCTTAGGGGAAAGAATTGAGTTGTCAAGACAGGTTAGATCACAAAAAACAACTTACAGCAAGCAGAGTTTGGACATAGTGTTCATCAGGTATACAATTATGAATTTTGGAGGTATCTGGAGGCTGCAAAAGATAAACAGACTTTAGAAAACAGTTCAACAGTATAAAGAAGAAGAAGCTTATAGATTAGTGTAGCATGTCAAGGTCTTTTAGCAAAAGTTGAAGTCAAAAGATCAACAAACAATAGAAGAGAAGAAATACTCAAGCAGCATGGACACTCACCACATACTGATCCCGCCAAAACTCAGGTAGCGGTTTTTTCTGCACAATGATAATGTAATTATGGTGAACATCACAGAAATATGAAGGTATGTAATGAGAACATACAAATGCAGAACTTTACATATCATCAGGGTAGTTAACTCCTGTATCATTAGGAGGGTAGCCATAAATCATAATACTTGTTCAACCAGCAAATAGGAGGCACATAAGAAACTACTTCTAATGGATTCAACTTTAACAATGTTTTTTCTATTGCCCAGTCCATCCATCTAAAAGAATAAGGACAATCCTTTTTTTAAAAAATTGAAAATAAATAAATGTTAAGATAACTTGTCTTGTGATGCTCATGATGAACTCACGACAATCCATGAGCATCATAAATCAAAATCCGTACCCCGAGTCTCAGAATAACAGTAAAGGTAGGTTTCCAAAACAAAAAGTAACTTGCCTTGCAATGCAACTGAAACATAGGAAATAATATTTCATCCTTCACTACAATATCTGCATGCTTTCTGTTTAGAACAGCCCACTGCAAAAAGACGTCAAAATGAAAACTAGTAAGATATACAACTTGTAAAAGTGAAAGATACACCTTGCTTTTTTGCTCCATTTCTCCTTTGAGAATTTCCTTTTAAGGAGTTACATTAAACTTCATGAAGTTAGAATTCATATTTCAGACCAATACCTGAGATCCTTTCCTCCAGCTTTGAACAGAAATAATTGGATCCATTTTGGGGTTATAGCGGCCTTCTTTTGTATCAGCAAAGCTGTTTTCATTTTTAAATAAAAGACAGTCAGATAAATGAAGCATGAAAATGGTTCCACATTTTAATTTGTGAAAGTAAGATGCTAGCTGTGTTTTTTCTAATCAGTGTAAGATGCTAGCTAGATATTTGGCTAAAATAATGGATTCAGAAGTAACAATTCTTTGAGAATGACTAGTGCCCTTCAGTGAAAGAACTGAAGCTTTCTTATTACTTGAATTCTATCTACAGGAATAAATCATTTACTCGAGAAAGAACAGAGATATATCAATGTTTCTTACCTGTCAACAAAACTATTTGGCGTAGACATTATGTAGTCATATGTGTAGCTGAAGTTGTACAAAGGTATGCAACTGAAATAACATGAAACAAATTAGATGACAGTTGCAACACAAATGTTAATATGATGGATATTATTGCAGATATATCAATGTTGGAGACCAATTTGCCAAGTAATGTTTTAAAACTGATGTGGCCTATGATTATGCTCAGTGATCCGAAGCTAAATCATTATCTGAAAAGTGCATTTAGACAGAGTTTGACTATTTCAAACACTTAGCTTAGAAAACTAATAGGGGTAACAGGTACATGTCTGCAAAAGTAGCTTACCACTACGGTTCTGATAAATTAACAGTCAATTAAGCTAATCAGTAATACCAAATGAGTCAGTTTGTGCTACAGATTTGATAAATGAAGATATTAAAGGAAATTATATCTCACCTGTCTGAAAGAAAAACAAATCGTTCATTGAGAGGATCCATCAATGCATGCTGAAGTAAAATACGCTCTGCCTGGATCATGGTTGCTTCTCCCCAATCTACCTGAAGGAAAAGACACTTGCTAAATATTGCTAGGCCATAAGAAGTATGTGAAAGAGAAAAAAAATGTAAATGTTGTTATAAGCTCATCAATATAAATAAAGAGTCGATACAAAAAGTCTTTACATAATTGTCATAGCATAAAGAAGGGAATGCGTATGACTTTTTGGTAACAGTCTCATGAATGTTCTATAAAATCTGTAAGAGGTGACAGGAAAGAAGAGTAGCCAGCCTGCAGTGTGTACTATAGGGTTAATGAACCAGAAGGAAAAGCCCTTGGTGGTTAATAAATATATTAATTACCGGGAAAAAAAAACAGAAAGGGAACCCCCCCGCCCCAAACAGATTTTGTTTTGATGAGCAAAACAATAATGCAGCACATGTATTTCTATCATAAATGCTGTTAATTGGATGAAGTAAGCAACAGAAACTCAATGGGTAGATTACCTACCTACTAGACTTAATGATGATGATGCTATCAACAAGAATTTTCCATTCAGAAGCAGAAAAAAACCTGTATACTATCGTTCATTTGGCGATTCAAGAAATACGCTGATCTTGTCGTCACTTTGTTCAATAAAAACCCTGGTCGTGAGTGAACCAGGATTGAAAATTTATTTTCCTTATCACCCTGCAAAACACACACACACAAAAAAATAAGTCTAGAAAGATAGCAAGAGTTTGAAAGAACTACCTACATGTGGTGTGGCAAGCATGCGCGGGAGAGCGGGAGCATTTGGGGAAAAGAATAGAATCAGAGTCAACAGCAAACAGTTACAGGCACATCGATATGTATATTGGAGAAACAATTGAATGTACCCTAAGCACAAAACACATTTCATCTGCTCTCAAAGGACATTCAGGTAACTTCTTGTGGGGGAATCAAAATTAAACCCATGTAGCTGATGAACCAATAGCTGATATATTGCAACAGTTCTCAAACTATAAGGATTTGCTAATGTCATCTAAAAGATGTACAATTCCTCGAAATCAATACAGACTTAACTGAGAATGGAACATAAAATGAGGCAATGGATCTGGATAGGCTACACCAACTAGTAGGAATTAAGGCTTAATTGTTATTGTATACTTGTATTCAAGTCTCGGAAAGAAAAAAAAATCTAACATTAAGTCGGGGGGTTTTCAGGAGTTTTTTTGAGTCTTTTTATAATGGTTATTCTATATCACTTATATCAATACAGGGTATGTGTGAATTTTAGAAATACCTCAATATTAGGGACACCTACTTTTCCTTCAAAGACAAATTATTTAATGTTACAATGTAATGAGCCTGAATAGAATGGTATAGAGAAAAGGATTCATATCATTGATCTCAACTAGACTGGATTATGGGATAGTTGATTGAATATGGAGCTTTGCAACAACAACACACCAAACGTAGTCGGATAAAATGGGTATGGGTAGGGTAGAGCGTACATAGACCTTACCCTAGAGAGGTTGTTTCCGATAGACGCTCGCCTCAAGAAAAAAACAGTCCAAAAAGTAGCGAAAGTGAAATCAAAACAAAGCATATTGAGCAGTAACTACAATTGCTTAAGGAGCTTGGCGATAGTCAAATAAAACTAAAAAATCACAAAGCTCCGCGGCCCACTAACACAAGCGTTAAAGATCATATTTGACAATCCTTCTTCTTAAAAAAGGAAATATCACACTCAACTCAAACACAAAAACTAGCAAAAGAAAGACGAGCACTCAGGAAATAGGGTGCCTTTTTATTTTTTGAAATTTTAAATTTGGGTATAGGAGAAGGGAAAATGGGGAAGGAAATTACTAAGTGGATGTGAAGTTCAAATCAACTGAGTTACTAAGATTCCAACAAAGAAGAAAAGGGTGTTTCTGTTTTGCACATTCTGTATAATTTGTGATCTCAGCAGGATCCAGGTACCACTAACCCCACCCCACAAAAAAAGAAAGAAAGAAAACATCTTGCATAAAGATATAAACTTTGTTAACTATACTAATATTGCAAGTCTATATATTGATGGCACTTTTAATTAACTTAGTAAAGAGTTGAAAGATCCTAAATCACTCCAATTACCAAAAAAATGAGAAACCTCAGGAAGTAATCAATGTAAACAAAAAAAATTCAAGAATTCACACTAAAGGGAAATAATACAAGCAAAATAATTAAGGCATCAAAAGACAAAAAGAGAGAAAAAAAAAACAGGAAAAATCCAAGTGCCACATAATGAATTGATTACCTGAAAGAAGGCATCCCAAACAATGTCCAAAGGCAGACGATTCCGAGCTATAAACAAAAATGCAATTTTGGGGTTTTGGACTTGAGGAGCAGAAAGCAACGCTAACATTCTAATTCTATTATACTGTGTCTCCATTAACACTAAAGTCCCGAAGAAGAAAATAAATAACATCATAGCAAACACTTTTATCTTCCATCTATGCTGAGATTTCTGGGAATTGGATCTTCGAATCAACTTCAAGCCCATATTCCCACACACTTCAAATTTGTAGAGTATAATCACTTACCCATCAAGATCTCTAAAGCAATTCAGTAGCAAAATGGATCCAACTAGAAAAGGTGTGGAAATACAATTAATTATGAGATCAAATTAAAGGATCTGGGAAGAAATTCAAAGCTATCTCTCATGAATCCGGTGAACTGACACTGTATTATTAAAGAGAAGAAAGGGACACAGAGTGAGAGTGAAGGGCTGACTTGAGTCTTGACTTAGCTTAATATATAAGTTGTTGGGATTTTTACTATTGAGTGAGTAAAAGATAAAGCTTAATACAGACTGGGTTGCGTGAATTGCAGGGAGAATGAGAACCCCTTTTCAATGGCTGCTTTAATGGCGAAACGATTTTCTCTTTGCCAGCAAATCTACCAAATCTGCCTCCACTTTGAGGGCCACTGCAGACTTTGCCTTTACTCAAAATTGATCTTCTTTTTCAATTCTCTCTTCTACCGGTTTTATCTTTTTCTTATTTTTCGCAGCTTTCTATATTTTCAGCGAATGTTTTCACCCTATGTCTACTTCCAAATATAATAAATGTGTACCTTTCACCCGTATGAATAGTGGTAGATTATCATCAATTTTTTATTGAACGTCTCAAATTTGAATTTATAGATATATAATTAAAACTTATTGAAAGTGTTTGTTTTTAAAAAATTATCTTATAAGGTATGAATTTAAATTTAATCGAACTTCAATATTTATTGAATAAAAGGTGAATTTTTTTTTAAAAAAAAACGTATAACTTCCTTGGTATCGACTTTTTACCATAGTTTAAAGAGATTTTACTTTTAAATATTAGTAGATCACTTTTTATTTTACACTTCTAAATGTTATGATTTTTTAAACATCCGGTAAAATATAAAGAGATCAACTAATATGGAACCAAGAAAATAATAAGAAATATTTGTACCTTTTATTATTTTTGGTTAAAGCAATAACACATTTTAATTAGTACATAACCACAACAACTGAAAATAGCAAAAATCACAGGTAATACTATAAAATAACAACTCACATTCATTTAATAAAAAAAACATGGCAAGTTTTTATTGCACTATTAAATAGCTGCACACTTGCTTCAAATAGGAAGATAATTAATACACTTTAATATTACGAAACATATATGGAATTCAAGATTTGGCTCATGGATATATAAGTTGGTCATTATAATATAAATAATGAGATAAAATAATTTCAAAAATTAATTAGGTAATATTTACAATCAAACACACAACAACATAATCTCCTATTTAACTAAAGAAAAAAATATTTCTTGACTTGTTTTCAACCAAAAAAAAAAACATCAATGATGAAGTAATAGAATCCATGCTTGAAAGTTACTGGACAACTAACAGAAATGGCCAACTAATGTTCCTCTAGGTGCTTGACTTGCTTAGGAGATAATTGATGAGACATCAAAACGCACACCAACCCAACGAAAACATTTACTCACTCCGTTATTATTTATATGTCGTTCTTAATAAAAATACATGTTTTTTAATATCCGTTATTTCACAATATCAATACATAAATAACATTATTCTTTCTATTTTACGCTAAGAGTTATTAACCTTGAAAATGCGTATTTGACCAATATAAAAAAACTAAGTAAATAATTTATGTGCATTAGTCAAATTAATTAATCAAAATAAATTAATTTATATTCATTGATTTAAAACCTGACTTTAAGAGAACACCAAACAAGGATACAATGATAAATTTACATAATTTCTTAAGAGACGTGAAATCTGAAATTGAATGATATATAGATAGAAACAGAGGGAGAGTATAGCATAGGATCCTATAACATAAGTACAATTAAATTCATAGCGTTCAATTATTGTATATTTTTTGTTCTAAATTAAGAGTCATTTTGATTAAAAAAAATATCTAAAAATAATTATCATTTTAGAAATTCAGAATTACAATTAATAACTATTTTCAATTATATTTTTAATTGCATGATACAAAAGAAATCAATCAATCTATTTTTATTTTTTTAAAAACAATATATTAGATTATATCAATATTTTTCTTTATACATTCTAATTGTTGAATTACTTTAAACGAAAATTTATGGGATTTTCACTTTTTTTTAAAAAGAATTTTAAAAAATCCTTTCTCCAAAACTGTCTAGAATTTGTATAAGTTAATTATGATTGGATGATAGAAGTTAATGTAAATTATGTGTTATATTGATTCAATGTAAACGTTTAACGTGTTAGTTGGCTATACTGTTATATCTCTTGATAGATGATGGACGAATACATGTAATACCAAGGTAGCATTACCAACATATTTATTTAGTTCATTAATAGTACTAGTTTGGTAAGCCTGCCAGTTTGTTTGTTCTTTTGGAGTACTTCAGTAATAATTGATGCCCTTAATTTTCATCCTTCTATGTTTTCTTGTCTAAAAATTAAATAACCATCATTAATTTATAGAGTAAGGTACAGGTGTTTGAGAAAACAATACCCTCTGGCACAATTACGAAATTTTTTTTTAAAAAAAAATTTGGTTTACCACCACTCACTTAAATATGTACCAAAAAATCACTAATTCGAACATGGACTAGTACGTCCGTAAAAATATAATAATTTCAACGCAAAATATAAATATAAAAAAATTAATAAATTTGCATGCTGGGACATGATAGTGAGCAAAAAAATATTTTTTGTGTGAATGTGCATTCACTTGCACATGACGCACCCCTTCGATGCTGGAAGTGACAGCGGCAATATTAAATTTTTTGAATAATTTATTTATTTATCACCCATTTTTGTTAGGAGACATTTCTGGAAAGCCCGTTTGGCCATAGATTTCCCAAATAATATTTGGGGAAAAATTTGACAAATAGTATTTGTCCATACAATTTGCCATTATTTGACAAATATTTTTGGCAAATATCCCAAATACTGGTTTTTTCTAGTATTTGGGTCAAATATCATTATTTGAGATCTTTTGAAAAATGAAATTTTACACCAAACTTTTATCTTTCACAAAAACGTCCTCTATAGTAGTTGTTTGCGTTGTATTACATAATTTTTTACGTGAACACCAAACAAGTGATGAAATATTCAGTGATTATAAAAGTGATGATATGATTGTTGATGAAAATGATGAACAATCGGCTCAGGGTAACAAAACCATGTGTTTTGTCTACTTCATGATGTATGGAATGTTGTTTGTTGCACTCACTCCAAACTACCACATTGCTCTAGTGTCATGGGCACTACTTGTTATTTGTTGCAACGAATATCCAGATGACTTGTAATACAAACTTATAGTTAGTTTTGATAGTTTTTAAAACTTATGGGTATAAATCATATTTTTCTAAAAAAGTGAAATATATTTTCCAAATATTATGGCCAAACACATGGTCAAATTTTCACCCAAATAATATTTGCCAAGAATATTTGAAAATTTATGGACAAACGCTAATGAAATAAATAAAGTTTATGATCCCCTTCCTACTCACAAAATGTTTTAAAAATTAACATTATTGAGTTTAAGAATCTCGATAACATATGATAGTAATTCAAAAGTGAGATTAGAAAAATATAAATTTTCGGACTTCAAAATTTTGAGACGTCAAAATATTTTAACAATAAATTTTTATATTTTATTTTCACTTTAAATAAATACTAAAAAAATGTAAAAAAACAAAACAAAGAAGGTATGAAATCTATATAAAAGAAAAAATACTCTTCTTTTGGGGTGAACAGTAAGCTTACCAAAATCACTGGACATCTCACTCACCGCATAACACCGTAAAGTTTGATATGTAAGAAAATAGATATAAAATCTATAAAAGATTAAAATAATTTTTATTTTAGGTAATGTTTTTTATGTTCCCAGTAAGAAATATGAATAGATTTCAAGTAGAATTAAAGTGAGAATCTTAATTCAGTGAACACAAATACACAATTAGGTTTTCACCTTTTTCATTTTAAATTTGCTTGCCTCTCTTCTGAAATCAAAGAAAGAAATCTTGTTTTGCAATTAGATATCTTCAAGTTTGTAGATTTGTGTTTTCTCCTTCCCCAATTTTTAATCTTGCCCGTGTATGTACTGAAATCAAAGAAAGAAATCATTAGGTTTTTATTTTGAAATTAGGCATCTTTTAAGTTTGTAGATTTGTGTTTTCTTTGGGTATTTTTGTAGATGTTGTGTTGAATCTAAATTTGCTCAACTTATTGCCTACATGCTATTTGATTCACATGCTCATTACTAAAAAAAAAACAGTGAATATCGACCTAAAAATTACCGATCTCCGAAGATCGGTATTGTTAAAAAGAATAAAAAAAAATATATCAACTACAAGTAGTCGATTTTTATGCAAAATAAAGCGGGAAAAATAAATTCCGACCTCTGGAGGTCGAAATTTTTCCTGGAAAAAATGAATTACGATAAAAACCGATATTAAATAAATAACAATATTTTATTTTTTCTCAATTAAATATAAAAAAATAAAATTGAGAAATATTATGATTTAATTTTATTTAAATCGTCTTCCGGAGGACGGTTTTGTGTAAAATAAAAAACAAAAAAATTATAATACCGACTTCCGAAAGTCGGTAAAATTAAATAGTATGTAATTAAATTAATTTCATTACAATATTTATATAGTGACTTCCAGAAAATTAATAAATTAATATTTTCAATTAACTTTAAATAAATCGTCCTCCGGATGACGATTTCATATAAGTTGAAAAATAAATTAATATAAAATATCGACATCATGAGGTCGGTATTTTTATTTCATCTAATTACTTTTAATAAAAGCGACATCCAAAGGTCGGTTTGTTTAAAATGTTCCTATTAATCATAATTTTGCTAGCATAATACTAAATTTTCATTTTACACCTATAATTAATTGTTCAAAAATGTGTAACAATTTTGTATATTTTTATAAATAAAAAGTTAGGTCAATAATCCATATTTAGAGTATGAAATTACGTTGATATGAAAACAGACTACAAGTAGTCGTTTTTTATGCAAAATAAAGTGGGAAAACGAAATTCCGACATCAGGAGGTTGGAATTTTTTTCGTCAATGACAATAAAAACCGACCTCTTGATGTCGGTATTAAATAAATAAAATAAAAAAATAATAATTATTTTTTCTCAATTAAATATAAAAAAAAAACAAAATTGATAAATATTTTGATTTAATTTTATTTAAATCGTCTTCCGAAGGACGATTTTGTGTGAAATAAAAAACAAAAAAAAATTATAATACCGACTTCTGGAAGTCGGTAAAATTAAATAGTATGTAATTATATTAATTTTCATTAAAATACATATATAGTGACTTCCAAAAAAATTAATAAATCGTCCTCCGGATGACGGTTTTATATAAGTTAAAATATAAATTAATATAAAATACCGACCTCCCGATGTCAATATTATTTAATTAACATGATTACTTTTTATTTATCTTAAAACTTAATGTGATACCGACCTCATGAGGTCGGTATTTTTTATTAAATTTAATTACTTTT